GTTAATTTCGTAATTCGTTATTAATTCGTATTTAAATTAGCTTACGATCCAATATTGAGCCATGCAGGAATAGTGTGTGTAAATTAGATTCGAAACAATTTTTTCAATTTATTTCGTAATTATTTCGTAATTATTTCGTAATTATTTCGTAATTATTTTCGCATGTCTGGTGCAAGTTTTATAGTTGTTGTTTGCTTTATCACACCAACAGTCAACAACAGAGGGAGAGGGAAGCTTCAGAAGTTCCCCCTGTCCCATTTGGAGGTTTTTTTAGCATATTGCGCAATCGCGTCCGCCATTAACGAATCGATTCGTAATTATACGAAATTTCGTAAATAACGAAATTTTGAAATCTCAAAATTTTGGAATTTGGAAGCGCTAGCGAATCGAGTTTAGAAACAAATTTTTCCGTGGTTACCCAGCCCTACCAGCTACTGGTCAAAGGACATTTAATCAACTACCAAGGTTGCAAAATCTGTGTTTTGTCTGTCTGTTTGTTTGTTTTTGTTAAAAATGTAATACAAATGTCTTGTTGCTGATGACACGATAGATTAATAAATAAAATAAAATAGCCCCAAAAAGGCGCATGATAGGGTCACTACAGTGTTACCATAAGTTGTAAATAAATCATAGAATCAAAGAGTTGGAAGAGACCACATGGGCCATCCAGTCCAACCCCCTGCCAAGAAGCAGGAAAATCACATTCAAAGCATCCCCGACAGATGGTCATCCAACCTCTATTGAAAAGCCTCCAAAGAAGGAGCCTCCACCAAATGACTTGAAGGCACACAACAACAGTAAATCAGAGGATGTTGAATAGAGATTACTTCCAGCTAAGGATATCTAAACATAAGATTTTAGGGAGCAGGCCGAAGGACTTGCTTCAGCATTAATGCATGCAGGTTAGTATTCAATTTCGCAATAACAAGAAAATTCTTGCCATGGAAGCATAAATAAGATTTGTTCCTTTTGAAATTATCTCTAGACCCACTTTGTTGCTTTTGTCTCCTCACTAGGAGTCACATAGAGATGTCATTATAGATCAATGCCTCTTAAAAATATATAATCCTGACTTCTATATGCCTAAAGACCACCCAATCCTGACAACTGAAAAAGGAAGGGATCCTCACGGAAGCCTAGTTAGATGGGCAGAAACAGGTACAGATTTCTACTACTAAATAGAAGAAGATGTGAAGGGAAACGGAAAGCGAGCAGAGTGAGACCTCTGGGGAAAGAAGCAAAGCAGGAGGTCCAATTATTCCAATAGAAGAGTTATTTCAAAATCATTATTTATAAAATAATTAAGTATCACAAACAGTTGTGATTATTTTACCAAAAGACCTGCTTGAAATGGACCAAGCCAAGCCTTCTCCTCAATGGCTTGAAATATGTTGAATAAAGATGACAACTGCGTATACACTGAAATGGCTAAAATGTATGATGTGAAGTTGACCTCTAAATGCTGCCCTCAAGCTCATGTAAAAAATATACATAGGAGAGAATCACTGTAAGAATTTGCATGGATTTCAGCAGCGGGTTAAACAGCTGAACTTGCTGACTGAAAGGTTGCCGATTCAAATCCGAGGAGCGGGGTGAGCTCCCACAGTTAGCCCCAGTTTCTGCCAACTTGGCAGATCAAAAACATGCAAATGTGAGTGGATCAATAGGTACCACTTTGGCAGGAAGGTAATGGAGATGTATGCAGTCATGCCAGCCACATGACCTTGGAGGTGTCTACGGACAACGCTGGCTCTTTGGCTAAAAAATTGAGATGAGCACTATCCCGCAGAATTTGACTCAACTAGACTCAATGTCAGGGGAAACCTTTACCTAGTGATTTGAGCACTGGACAGTGACACTGGAGAGCAGGGTCTGAATACCCACTGGATGACCTTGGGTGAGTCACACTCTCTCAGCCTCAGAAAGGCAAGGGCAAACCTCTTCTGACCAAATTTGGCTAAGAAAACCCTGTAATAGAATCATAGAATTGTAGAGTTGGAAGAGACCTCATAGGCCATCCAGTCCAACCCCCTGCCAAGAAGCAGGAATATTGCATTCAAATCACCCCTGGCAGATGGCCATCCAGCCTCTCTTTAAAAACTTCCAAAGAAGGATACCTTAAGGCCACCATAGTTTGGAAATGACTTGAAGACATGCACCAACAGCTAGGAAAGTATATCTCTATCCAGGAGTGCAGCCTGCCTCCTTTACTGTCTCTTTTACTGTCTATCTTGTAATACTCAGCATTGGAATATACTGAGCCGGGTGGCACATGGGTTAGACCCGTGTGCTGGCAGAACTGCTGACCAACAGGTCAGCAGTCCAAATCTGGGGAGAGCGGGTTGAGCTCCCTCTGTCAGCTCCAGCTCCCCACACAGGAACATGAGCGCAGCCTCCTACAAGGATGGTAAAACATCAAAAAATCATCCAGGCGTCCCCTGGGCAATGTCCTTGCAGACTGCCAATTCTCTCACACCAGAAGCAACTTGCAGTTTCTCAAGTCACTCCTGACACACACAAAACATTGGCATAGACTGTTAATTCTCGTATTTTACGGCTACCTGGCTCTTCTCTGTGCCCATTAAGGCACACACATGCACACATACACATAGTCATCTATCTCTGCCAGGAGATAATACCACTTCCTGCATCTGTTTCAGGAGGTGGGCTGTAGCACATAAAAGCATATGTCATAAGAAATCCGATGTGGCTGAGATCTTCATTACTCAGATGCCATTCCCACTGAGTTCAAACAGGACTTCCTTGGAGAGAAGCGGGATGACAGAACACCCACTATTAAGCAGCCAAATCCTGTGCTCATTTACTCAGACATTTGCAGTCCCAATGGAGTTAGGTTGTCGAAAGCCAGTGTGTGCCACCCTGTGTGTTTATTTACTCAGGAGCCAATAGCAAATCAGACTAGCACACTGGAGAATATGGTTTCGTTCCCTGCTCAGCCATGGAAACTCACTGGGTGACCTTGAGCAAGTCACACTCTCTCAGCCTCAAAGGAAGACAAAGCCAATCCTTGGGCAAGACTTTGGACAAGTCTTGCCAAGCAAACCTTGTAAGTTGTATGGATGTCGTAAGTTGGAAGCAGAGATGCTGGACCCTTCTAACAACCACTATGTCAGACTACACAGAGAAGTAATTGAAATCCACAAGCATGTGGACAATTTCAACAGAAAGGAGAAAACCATGAAAATGAACAAAATCCGGCTGTCGGTGTTTAAAAAACTCTAAAATCAGGACAGTAAATAAAGAGCAACACTCAAAAACAGGGAAATTCCAGGCATGAAACAATCAAGGCCAGCTAACATCTCCCAACAAAGGATTCCCCCAGGAAGGAAGCAGCCAGGCTTTGAAGCTGCAAGGCTATTCAATGCTAATCAAGGTGATTAATTGCAACATCCACACTTGCCTCCAACAGACAAGAGTTCTTTCTCCCACCCTGGACATTATTCTACAGATATATAAACCTCCCTTGCTTAGTTTCCAACAAACCTCACAACCTCTGCCATAGATGTGGGTGAAATGTCAGGAGGGAATGCTTCTGCATTGTTCTACAGATATATAAACCTCCCTTGCTTAGTTTCCAACAAACCTCACAACCTCTGAGAATGCCTTCCATAGATACGAGTGAAACGTCAGGAGGGAATGCTTCTTGAGCGGCCAGACAGCCCGGAAAACTCGCCACAACCCAGTGATTCCGGACATGAAAGCCTTCAACAATAACTTGAAGTCACATAGCAGCAACAACAATGATAACAAGGCTTTATCAAACCTCACTCTTTGGAGCCTGCATTTGGAAATACAAGATCTCTGTCCTGCATTTGCGACATTCATGGTCCTCCTGCCCTGCAGTGAGTAGAAGATGAAGATCCACGGCTCCGTCTTTCCTACACAACAACAACAACAACAACCCTTCCTGGTAGGTCAGGTCAGGATGGTAACACAACTCTTACAGCAATGAATTGTCGAAGGCTTTTGTGGCTGAAATCATGGGATTGTTGTACGTTTTCCGGGCTGTCTGGCCATGTTCCAGAAGCATTATCTCCTGACATTTCACCTTCACTTATGGCAAGCATCCTCAGGATGGCGGCACAACTTTTAGAGCAATGGCTGGAATCACTGGGTAGTTGTATATGTTTTCCAGGCTGTCTGGCCATGTTCCAGAAGCATTCTCTCCTGACATTTCACCTGCACCTATGGCAGGCATCCTCAGGATGGCGGCACAACTTTTAGAGCAATGGCCAGAAGAACTGGGTAGTTGTACGTTTTCTGGGCTGTCTGGCCATGTTCCAGAAGCATTCTCTCCTGACATTTCACCTGCACCTATGGCAAGCATCCTCAGGATGGCGGCACAACTTTTAGAGCAATGACTGGAATCACTGGGTTGTTGTACGTTCTCCGGGCTGTCTGGCAATGTTCCAGAAGCATTCTCTCCTGATGTTTCACCTGCATCTAATCTTAGAGGTTGTAAGGTCTAACAGCAATTCCCTTTGAGGCCTGATTTGTTATTCCGCCTTGAGTTTGAGGGCTGCCTTTAGAGGTCAACTCCGCACCCTGGGTTTAGAGAGAAGGGCTGCCAATAAAGGGCAAGCATCACAAAGTAATGGTTAGTCTTGAATCTTTCCAGTGCCCTTCAATACTTTGTAAGAGGCATGGGCCAATTGGGGTCCTCAAGGTGCTTTGGACTCCAACTCCCACCATTCCTAACAGCCTCAGGCCCCTTCCTTTTCCCCCTCAGCCGCTTAAGCGGCTGAGGGGGGAAAGGAAAGGGCCTGAGGCTGTTAGGAATGGTAGGAATTGAGGTCCAAAGCTCCTGGAGGACCCCAATTGGCCCATGCCTTCTCTGTACCCACTCTATCCCACCAAGGGCATCCCAAAGGACATCTCCAAAGATGCTTCCCAGGCGCAGGAGAGGCTGCAGAAGACAACCTGAGAGCTGGGTTGCTTTGTAGTTGGCCTCCCCTTCTTTGGAGGGGGTGCTTTTTTACCTCCTCAAGTAGTTCCTCCCGTAGAGGATCTGCTGCACCAGCGTCACCACGGCGAAGGCGCAGACGAAGATGAAGAGCAAGGCTCGGTTGCCCAGCAGATCCCGGCTGGAGGTGGGATCCGTGTAGCCCATCCTGGAGAGGATGCGGCAGGAAGGAGAAGAAGAAGGCTGAGAGGCTGGGGAAGAGACCCCGGAGACCCGGCTGGGCGGCTGAAAGAGGAGGAGGAGGAAGAAGAAGAAGAGGGCCGGCAGCCCCTCCTCCTTTGCGCCCCTCTCCTCCTCCTCCTCTCCTTCTCCAAAGGCGGGCGGGCGCAAAGCAGCAGCAGCAGCGAGGCAAGGCGAGCCGGAGAAGCAAGGGGCACCAAGGCGGGGAAAAGGACAGCAGCGGACCCGCATCCATCCTCCCTCCCTTCCTCTTCCCTCCTTCCCTCTTTCCCTCCCTCCCCAGAGAAAGGAGGGAGGGGAAGGGAGGCAGGAAAACCCGGCCCAGGCTGTGCGTAAAGTTGCCCGCGTTTGGAGAGCGCGCGTTTGGAGAGCTCCTCTCTCTCTCTTGCGCGCAGGAAGATGGAGCCTTTCCAGCCTGAATTCCTGGAGTTGGGAGAGCAGGATCCACACTGCGCCATTGGACTAGTTTTGAAGCCGAGCACCCCCCCCCCCCCACCACCACCACCCCTAAAATAAGGGATAGTGACTTATAGTTCTGCAAAGGGCAAGGGCACCAGACTACACAATAGGAGTTAGGTCTTGGTCACATTGCCAAGGCACTAACAACAACAAGGACCCCACGAGACTTTTGGGGAACGGCTTGATCTTGGGACTTCTGCCCTTCGTGAGAGTTGTAGCTTCCCAAGGACCAGCTTCGATCCCAGCGTGGCAGCTCTGCCTAATGTTTTGGACTCACAAGGAGATCTTTCCCGCGCATGAACTTATAGAATCATAGAATCATAGAATCATTTGTCTGCCTATCTTCCCAAGAGATTTGTAGGATTTTTCAGAGGCAACACTGATGAAATAGTTCCAGGAACTGAGTGTGACATCTGTAGACAGTCCACATTTCACAGGCATATCACAGGGTTGGGAGGACAATGGCTTTATAAACAAGCACCTTGGTCTCCCTACAAATTTCCCAGTTCTCAAACACTCTCTGCTTCATTTGGAAAAATGCTGCACTTGCAAAGCTCAGTCAGTGTTGTATTTCAGTGTCGATGTTGACTTTTGTGGAGAGGTGGCTGCCAAGATAGCAGAAATTAAGCTGTATTTCTGGCATTGGAGAGGGATTGGCTGGTGACTGCAGGAAGAGCACTTTGGTTTCTCGATGTTCAATGAGACGCCGAGTTCTCGTATGCTGGCGCTGGCTGGGAATCAGCTGCAGTAAGATCACTACTGACCAAAAGGTCATGAGTTCAAAGCCAGCCCGGGTCGGAGTGAGCTTCCGATCAATTTGTGTAGCTTGGTGTTGACCTTTGCAGCCTGAAAGACAGTTGCATATGTCAAGTAGGAAATTTAGGAAGCTAATTTACGATGCCATAAAAATCTCCAGCAAGCATGCAAAGAATGAGAAAGTACTTCATCAGTGTCACAAATGGACGCTGAAGCGACTGCTCCCCTGGTGGCCAGAATACCCTCATGAAAAAGCTGGAATGTTAAATAGCCTCTGTGTGCCTGTCTATATATGTTGTGTGTCTATGGTATTGAATGTTTGCCATGTATATGTACATTGTAATCCGCCCTGAGTCCCCTGCGGGGTGAGAAGGGCGGAACATATGTACTGAAAATAAATAAATTAATAATTCTGCAAAGGTGTTTAGAGTGCCTTGTAGGTCTTCTTCTGAATGCGCACAGACTACATTATCATCAGCATATTGGAGTTCTATAACAGATGTTGTTGTGACCTTGGTTTTGGCTTTCAATCTGCTGGGGTTAAATAGCTTGCCATCTGTCTGATAGATTATTTCCACTCCGGTGGGAAGCTTCCCGTCAACAAGATGAAGTATCATAGCAATGAAGATGGAAAATAAGGTTGGGGCAATAACACATCCCTGTTTGTCACCTCATTCCACTTCTTTATTGTAAGAACTGGGGGAATACATGTGCCCATTCTTGGCTTCCTTCTCACCAACTCTCTCTCTCACACACACACATACACAGATGTACTGCCTCAGCTCAGTTGTTAGCAGATGTTAGATTGCAAGCAAAAAGTCTCCCTTCCTCCTCTTCTCAATCTGCAGCCATCTGAACAAGTTACTTCTCAGCTGTGCAAAGAAACTAGCAACCAAAATGTCATAACTGTGCCTTAGCAGAGACACCATGTCAAGACAAGAAGCTCTCTGGAAAGGCATGAATAAATGAGGTGACTCCTGTCTGTTTGGTAAATGCTCTGCCAGTGTATTAGCAAAACCAGGGGTAGAAAGAGAATGAGAAATCTGTGAGCATTTGGCAGGCCATAATGACCCCTGCAGGATAAGAATTGTGAATTAGAAGTTGGAGTAGGTGTTCATATTTCCTCCATTGAGATCACTAGTCTTGTGGAAGTTGCTTATTCTTTTACTTGGTAGTCCTCATCTCCCCCTCAATGGACTGTCACCTTGTCGTGGTGAGGGGGCTTGCGCGTTCCAATGAACCTGTAGGCACAACAACTGGAGTCGTGCACTCCCAGGAGTGGCGCGGGGGAGGTTCCAGACCAAGCACAGTCCGAAGACCCAAAGACCTCAACGGCGGAGCAGGCGGAGGATAACATGGCACATGTTACAACGGCTGCGAAGGCGGAAGAAGGCTGCAACAGACTGAGAAGCCACGGTCATTGTGTTAAACTACATCACCAGTGGAACCTCACTCTGTGAAGTCTGTGTGTTGATCAGTTGTGCACTGACCTCCACACATTAAAAAAAACCCACGCACAGGCGTCTTCCAAAGAAAATAAAAACAAACCAACCAAAGCCCCATGGCGATCAGCGAATGGCGACGGGGGCAGGACTGTGAAATCTGGAAGCCCCTAGTCACAGACTGGCACATGGGCGGTGGGTACGGACTCAGTCGTTCTACCTCAAGGTCCGAGGCAGTTGAGTAGTTCGGCAGCTGTATCCGCGACTGAGCAGCCCTATTGAGGACCCACTCTGCTCACCCCACATGGGGAGGGGGCTAGAAAAGGTGCCCTAAACATAGTCTGCATCACTTATCCCTGACTGGACTGCCGCGTCCAGTGGGGTCACCACCCTGCGGCCAAAAAAGGAAAATGAACTTCGGTACGTGGAACGTACGGACTCTGATGGACAACAGTGGCAGTGAACGCCCCGAACGCAGAACTGTCATCATTGCAAGGGAGCTGGGATGCTTCAACATCGACATAGCAGCCCTTCAGGAGACCCGGAGAGCAGGAGAGGGACAGCTGAAGGAAGAAAAAGGAGGCTACACCTTCTTCTGGAAGGGACTGCCCGAAAAAGACCAAAGAATGCACGGAGTTGGCTTTGCCATCAGAAATGATCTGATGAAACATCTGTCCGAAGCACCCACTGGCATCAACGAACGACTCTCAACCCTCCGAATCGATCTTGCCAAAAACCAATGGGCAACCATCATAAGTGCCTATGCACCAACACTAGATGCTGACGAAGACATCAAGGAGACATCATCACTGTCAGCTGGATACCGTCCTATCGGCGATACCTAAGGAGGACAAAATCATCCTCCTGGGGGACTTCAATGCAAGAGTCGGGCGAGACTTCGACCTGTGGCCAGGGACCATCGGAAAAGACGGGGTTGGAAACAGCAACTCAAACGGCATCCTGCTTCTCACCAAATGTGCGGAACACAACCTTGTCATCACCAACACGCTCTTCCGCCAGAAAACAAGTTCAAGACATCATGGAAGCACCCCCGGTCAAAGCATTGGCACCTCTTAGACTATGTAATCACACGCGCCAGAGACCGCCGTGATGTGCTCCTCACAAGAGCCATGACAGGTGCTGACGACTGCTGGACTGACCACAGGCTAATTCGATCCTCGATGGCTATCAAGATCGCCCCCAAGCGCAGACTCCAAGGAAGAAAGACAAGGCGCAAAATGAACACCCAAGCCCTTCAGGAGCCCTCCAAACGAGCCCATCTCCAAACAGCACTCAAGGACCATCTACCCATAGAACACCCCGAAAATGTTGAGGAACATTGGAACAAACTGAAGACCTCCATCATCAAGCCTGTGAAGAAACTATTGGATACCAAGCCAAGAAACATCAAGACTGGTTTGATGAAAATGACATCGAGATCCAACAGCTAATTGACAAGAAAAGGAAAGCCTTCCAAGCATGGCAGAGAGACATCAACTGTGTTGCTAAGAAAAAGATCTATGCCAGTGCAAAAGCTGAGGTCCAAAGAAGGACAAGAGAACTCAAGAACATCTGGTGGACAAAGAAGGCCGAAGAAATCCAACACCTGGCAGATACCCATGATGCTCAGGGATTTTTCAAAGCCACAAAGGTCATCTACGGACCAAGAAACCATGGCATACAGCCTCTACGCTCATCAGATGGAACCAAACTCCTGAAGGACCAAAACTCAATTGCATTACGTTGGAAAGAACACTACCAAAGCCTCCTGAACCGCAGCTCCAATGTGGCCGAAGAGGTCCTCTCACAAATCCCGCAACAACAAACCAGGGACGAGCTTGCAGCACTGCCTAGTTTGGAAGAAGTCAGCAATGCCATCAGCCAACAGAAGAATAACAAAGCCAGTGGACCAGATGGGATCCCTGTTGAAATCTTTAAAGAGGGAGGACCTGAGCTGACACACCAACTCCACCAGCTCATAGAAAAAGTGTGGGTGACCGAGAAAATCCCAGCAGATTTCAAGGATGCCACCATCATCACCCTCTTCAAAAAAGGGGAAAGAACAGACTGCGGAAACTATCGAGGTATCTCCCTTCTAACCTCTGCTGGGAAAATCCTTGCAAGAATCCTTGCAAACCGCCTTCTACCCTCTCAGAAGACACCCTCCCAGAATCCCAGAACGGCTTCCGCCCCTCCAGAGGAACAGTGGACATGATCTTCACTGCACGACAGCTCCAAGAAAAATGCAGGGAACAAAACCAACCTCTGTACATGGCATTCATCGACCTTGCAAAGGCATTCGACACAGTGAATCGCAGCGCTCTCTCGACCATCCTCCACAAAATCGGGTGCCCAAACAAATTTGTGAACATCCTGCGGCTCCTCCACGATGACATGATGGCAACAGTCTTGGACAGCAGTGGCTCCCAAAGTGACCCATTTAAGGTGGAATCAGGTGTCAAACAGGGATGTGTTATTGCCCCAACTCTATTCTCCATCTTCATCGCTATGATACTTCACCTTGTTGATGGAAGCTTCCCACCGGAGTGGAAATCATCTATCGGACAGATGGCAAGCTCTTCACCTCAGCAGACTGAAAGCCAAAACCAAGGTTACAACAACATCTGTTATAGAACTCCAGTATGCTGATGACAATGTCGTCTGTGCGCATTCAGAAGAAGATCTACAAGCCACTCTAAAGACCTTTGCAGAAGCATATGAGAAGCTCGGCCTATCA